CGGATCGCCTGGACACGAGGGACGGGGACGGGTCAGAAGACAGCGACACAACGCAGCGACGCAGGCAAGGCAAGGTTCTCACCCGCCCCGTCGTACCTTGCTGAGGATTTCCTCGGTGTCCGACTGCAGCTCAGCGCTCAGCTGCATGCGTGACAAGTGAGCCTGCAGCAGGAGGTTGGTCTTGACGTGGGGATCGTTGAATTTGGGGTTGGTCAGCTTGTGGGGAACTTTTTGAGCCAGCTATGGGGAGAAATGATAAACCCGTCAGTGCTGTAGCCCTACAGAGACGAAAACACAAGCAGCTTCCTTCTTCCGACCCTGCAGGAACCCACGTCCGGCCTCTCCAGCCCCCCGTCCGACACGCTGCCGCTTACCTGCCGCAGCAGGTTGTCCTCATGGTGCCTGATGGGGATGTTCTCATACTCAGCAGCGTTGGAGATGATTTCAATCAGCCCTCGCACCTTGGTCTTGGCATTGAGAGACATGCTGAAAAGCTCTGGGGAAGCCAGAGAGGTAGAAGGCTCAGGGAAAACCAGACAGCATTAAACCCCACGGTACAAGAGATGCCCTCAGGCAGACAACACGCAGCCTTGTGCTAAAGCACAGTCTTACGCGCCCAACCACGCACACGGCACATCGTCTGTCGCCTGCGGCACAGGGAGCGATGTAGAGGGGACAGAGCAGGAGCGCCGGCGAGCGCTTGCGTGCGGTACCTGTCCCTCGCGGAGCCCTTACCGATGGTGGTGTAGTTGATGTAATAATAGGCGGCGATCATGCCCAGGTTCAGAGGGGCCACGTCCATCTCGTCCTCGATGCTGATGCACTTGGACTGCTCCAGGTCACTGAGGGTCTGTTCCACCAGCTCGGAGAGGTGATCCGAGAGATGCCTGTGGGACACGCCTGCGGGTACAGCAGCGTTGTGGCCGGGCTTAAAAACTCCCCAGGACGGAGAAAAGCTGCTCTTGCAAAAGCAAGAGCCCATAGACAGAGGGTTCCCAGTATCTCCCAACCCCGTATCCACCAGTGCAGAGCCCTCCGCTCACCTTGCAGGTTGTAGTAGTTTGGATTCTGCGTCATCCTGCGATACAGGAACGTCCAAGTGAGGTAGTCCACCGCATCCTGCTTGTTTTCGATGGTCTTGGTGACGATCTCAGCGTTGAAGTGATCGTGCATGCAGTGGTCCAAGTGCGACTCCACCGGCAGGGGCTCGTAGAGGAACTTCTTGAAGAAATCCTACAGGGGGGCAAGAGTAGAGGGAAGGGATAAACCAACCCCAGCACCTCCAAAATCCCGGAGCACCTCCCAGGCAACAGGGCTCTGAGTGAAGGTTATACATCAGCCTGCCCAAAGCTGGGAGAAGAAATCCACGCCCCAGGCAGGAGACAAACATTCACAGGCCAGGAACGGTGCCCCGCTCCTCACCCACCTTCTTGGATCCCTGGCACATGATGACACAACGGCCCTCGTCGTCCTGCAGCGGGCGATTAGCGTGGCCCACCATCTGCAGCACGTCGTAGATGGGGTAATCCACGTACCTGGGGCACGGAGAGAGAGTTAATGATGCTCCGCGGAAAGCTACCGCCGCTCTCCGGCGATTCCCAGCCTCCGCCTGGACAGGGATGAAGCCCTTTGGGCTTAGGGCCTCGTCCCCTCGTGCTCAGCGTGGCTTGAACTGGCAGGGTGGACACCGAGGGAAGCTACGGCCGGTCTTGCCCGCAGTGCAACACACTCACGCGTGGATCTTGCCGTTGTAGTACTGCGTGTCCATGATGATCACCAGGTGAGCGGCGATGTTCATACCCCAGCAGAGGCTGCGGGAGGCAACCATCACCTGAACCGCACCTGAAAGGTGTGCGGGGAGAGCAGTCAGCCCGCGAGCAGAGCACCTCTCTGGGTGACAGAAACCCGGGGGAGAAAGATCTGGGAGCTCTGCGCTCGGGCAGAGGGGTCTCAGCATACAGGGAGGTCCAGGAGAGATGGTGAAGTTTAAGATCACAGCCTTTTTGGACCAGGGAGGCAGAGAAGTGACACGAGGCTTGGGCAAGCTGTTACCAAGACTGCCAAGCTCCGGGGAAAAGGGTTTACGGGTAGCTGAAGTGGCGTGTCCCCATCCTGCCCCGCTCACCGGAGCTGAAAAGCTGCTCCACCACTCGCCGTTCCATGGCGGTCAGCCCCTCGTGCAGGTAGCCCACCCCGTTCACAAGCGTCTCCTTCAGAGTGTTGTCGTTCAGCTTGTCCAGGTACGGCACCAGATCCTTCTCTGCGCAGTGCAGGAACCTGCCAGAGAGAGGGAGTAAAGAGGCCACTGCCAGGCTCAGCAAGGCTGTCCCTCCCTGATGCCCAAGTGACACCTAATGAGACCATTTCCCATCACTAGTTGTCCCTCAGCCCAGCGGAAACGGCCAAAAATCTTGCCCTTGCCTCTGCCAGAGGAGGGAGACAGGCCACAGCACTGTTACCTTTGCCTCTGGACATCCGAGGCGCACGTGGTGAGGATGTTGATGGCCGTCAGCCGCGTCTGCTTGCGGGATGGGACGAAGACGATGACCGGCTTTTTGGGCGAGTGCTTCATGATGGCATGGTAGACGGGCTTGGCCATGGAGAGCAGGCGAGTCTGTGTGTGGCTGATGTTGAAGCCCTGCGGGGGAAGAGGAGCAGGCAGTGACGCTGTCTGGAAACCAGGCAGCAGGGAAAGGAGATGAGGTTGCCCAAACCCTACCTGAATGTGCAGCTCCAGGGGCACGGGGCGGACGTTGGGGTGGAAGTTGAAGGTGGAGGTGGCACTGCAGCCCAGCCAGTGAGCCACGTCCTTGGCGTTGGAGAGGGACGAGCTCAGGGCCACGATGCGGATAGGTCGCTCGATTTGGGAGGAGATGTAGCGCATGCGGGAGCAGATGACCTCCAGCACCGGCTGCGGGTGGGGGAGGGCAAGTTGTAGCAGGAACAGGAGGGGAAACGCCGAGCTCTCCGCACCGCACCCACCTCTCCTGGCTGGGCTCTGGCCACTTCAGCCCGAGCATCCTCACCCACAGAGACCCCAGGGGATGCCACTCCCAAGCTTCCCAAAGGATATGGCCCTCCTATCCCAGCCCATCCTGCAGCTTGGGGAACCTCCCGTCAGGAAAAGCTGAACTCAGACCATTGGGAGTGAGCAACATCCCACAGCAGCTCTACTACCGAGAGCAACACGATGAGGAGCATCACTCCAACGAGTAGTGCCCTCCTCCCCTCCTCAACGAGTAGACGCACCCCATTTTCGCCCCCAATGAGATGCACTTCGTCCACGATGAAGAGATTGACGTTCTGGACATTCTTGCGCTGCTTCCAGCGTCGCGAGAGGATGTCCCATTTCTCAGGGGTGCTGATGATGATGTTGCCTTTGCCCAGCAACTTCAGGTCAGTGCTGGTCTCCCCCGTCAGCAAGACCACCTTCTTATTGAGACGCTCCTGGAACTTTTCATACCAGTCCAAGAAAACCTGCCAAAAATGCAAGGGACGCTGTTGTCAACCGCAAATTAGGACAAATCCTACCAAATCCCTGGAAACACACACATGCACACACCAACATCAGCAGGACAGCGTCTCTTTGCTCCCTCAGAGAGACCAGAATTAATTAAAAGAGTCTGGAGTCCTCCTGAGAGATGTGACAGCAAAGAAGGGATGAGGAAGAGTGAAACAGGGGATGAGGAAGCAAATCTAAGCTGGGGTGAGGCTCCAGTTCTCCCCAGGATGCCGCGCTTACCTGCTCTGCCAGGGCCTCCATGGGGGTGATGTACACGCAGCGTCCCTCTGAGTTCTGGAGCAACATCCTCAGGATGGCAAATTCAGCACAAATGGTCTTTCCGCTTCCCGTGGGGGCACCCACAAACACGTTGTCGTCGCTGTTATAAACGGTGTTAAACACTGGGGACAGACAAACAACACAGAAGAGAGCAGTTTAGCAAAATCTCCACAGATTTCTATCAAAGCTCTAGAAAAAGGCAGGGAAAATACAGCTGGGACCCAGCCCGCACAAGGAGGAGCTACAAAAAAGGCAGGTTAAGAGTTTTAGCCCACGATCCACTGAGCAAAACAGGCTCTAGTCTGTCACAGTAGCTCCCAAGCGTGAATTCTGACTGCTCTGGCTCAGCCCACCCGAAGAAACACGGACAGGGCAGCCTTGGTTGGCTCACAACTCCATCCCTACAAGCAGCACAGATGGAGAAGTTTGGGGCCAGCCGGCTCTGTGAACGTGAGCCGCCGTGTTAGCACAGCCCCGCCTACCAGCAGCAAGACTGCTGCCAGACAGCCCCGGACCGGCTGCGTGATGTACGTGAGGAAATTATCAAAGATACGCTGGCCCATGGAGAAAGATTTCAAGCCATCAAACCTCTAAGGCTCAGGGAGGCAGAAGGGATCCACTATTTGCTACAGAAGTTGCTCACATTACGTGAGTAAAGCCCGCAGACGCAAGGCTACGGGACCGTGAATACCACAAGGGCCAGGGCTCGCTGAGAGGCAGTTCGGAGGAGGTGAGCAGAGGCAACACCCACCCTGAGTCTGGATAGGGTTGAAGAAAGGGAACTTGTCCTGGTAGAGGCTCTCGAAGGCACTGTTCCGCAGAGCCGACACGGGCAGCGGCTGCAGATCCAGCAGCTCAGTCGGAGGAGGGTACTTCTCAGGGAGGATCAGGTGGCGGAAGGAAACGGGCAGCTGGGTCTCACAAGCTGTCAGACACACAAAAAAACATTTTTGTCTCCAAAAGCACTCCAACAGTTTCATCTCTGAGCTCCCTCTGCCAACGGGATGCCCAGCCCTGCTGTCACTTGGGCATCAGAAGTCTTTCCCCCAGCACAGCACTAGGAGAGGGCCTGAGCTACCCCCTCAGACCCCAGGGAGAACCGCTGCTCTATAACCGAGGCGCTCCGGGCACAACAAGACTTACAGAGCCAGCGGTCAGAGACCACCCGGATGAAGTACTGCGGCGGCAGCGGCTCAAACACGGGCACGAAGAAGGTGACGAGGTGTTCATCCTGCGCGTATTTGGCTTTCCGCAGGAAGTACTCGTGGTGCAGGATCACTTCGCTGTCCACGTCCTCTACCAGGATCCAGAAAGCTTCGGACGAACCGTGTACCTGAGCAAGGGCAGCCGTTACCTTCGGATCAGAGTCCAGATCCCCTGGAGCTGAACACCAGCCCTCCCACAGCAATCCTGCCCCAGAAGTGCCCTCCTAACCCCCAGCACGGTATTTAGCCCGGCGATATTTAGCTGCACAGCTCACCTTTTCATCCCACTGGAAGTCGGGGGCAATGGTGAGCTCTACTTTCAGGGTGGAGCGGGTAATAGGCTGCAGGTGGACCGAGAGCTCCAGCTTTGGAAACAGATGAACGTATTTGTGGATTGTCTTGCCCATCTTGGGCATTCGGATCAGTTCCCCTGCAACAGAAAGGCGCTGCCGTCAGGACAGACGGACAACAGGGTGACCAACAGCTCCCAAAACGAACAGCATTCAATAAAGCAGCCGGAGGGTGCCAGGGCAAAGCCTCTGCCCTTCTCAGGCTGTACCAAGACCCTCACCAGCTCTGTCCCTTTAATCAGACAGGAACGAGCCCCCCAGTTTCTGGGTTAAAACGCAGCAGTGGAGAATAGAGAGGCAGACACCTCTCCCTGCTGCATCCGCCCGCATCTCCATACCTATTTCATTATGGTTCAAGTCGTAGAGCCGTTCAAAAGGGAAATTCTTCTTCTCGATTTTCTTCACCACTTCTTCAGGCAGTTTCTTGAACTGGCGCAAAGGGCACATGGACTGCCACCTGCGAGGACACCACGAGGTGAGACAAGCGAGGAAACTGAGAAGAAGCCTTCAGAGCACCAAGGTTCCCCACGCTGCCAAAGACTCAGCCAGACACAGGCAGCAGCTCCTTTACACCCCGACAGGCACAAGCACTCTCCTTCCTAAACGCTGCTGAGCTATCCAGGCTACGCCAAAGAATCTTATGCCGGAGGCATCCAGCCCGCAATCAGAAAACACCTCCGAGATCTCACTTACATCCGTTTGTCAATCATCTTGCAGAGGTTAAGGGTCTTGTCGGTGAGCTGGGCCCAGCCACGGTTCAGGACGATCTCGAAGATGGCACGCATCAGCCGCCCAGCAGACTGGGGGGACAGAGAGTGGCTCTCAGAGCTTGGCTGCGATCATCACATTCAACTCTTCCTTCCTTTCTACCCATCCTCCTGCCCAGCCACATGGTAATAGGATAGTTTGGGCGGGCAGGGACCTTTTAAAGATCATCTAGTCCAACCCCCCTGCCACGGGCAGGGACACCTTTCATTAGATCAGGTTGCTCTGAGCCACGTCCAGCCTGACTTTAAACACTTCCAGGGATGGGCCATCCACAGCTGCTGTGGGCAACCTGTTTCAGTGTCCCATCACCCTCATTGTAAAAAAATTCTTCCTTATATCCAACCTAAATCTACCCTCTTTTAGTTTAAAAACAGTATCCCTTGTCCTGTCGCTGCAGGCACTGATAAAAAGTCTTTCCCCATCTCTTATAAGCCCCTTTTCAGTATTGAATTATACTTTAAAGGTCCTTCATCCCCAACACCTACACGTGGAGCAATTACTCGATTCCCAGCCTTGAGAATTTGGCCTTTGTGGGAGAAGAATAAGGCTACACTGAGGTCCTCTAGCACGGAATTATTTTGACTACAAATTGAAGACTCCAAGGAAGATCTAATTCCCATCCTGAGAGGGGTCACACCATCTCACCGCTGTAGTTATTTTCAAAGCCATTTTATGACCACAAACTACGTCTCCGAGGTGCGAAGAGCTGTCTGAGACTGAGCCAGGGCTGGACTGCACACACCTGAGGGGAAAGAGAGAGGCCCCAGCCACGTTTCCTCACTCACCTGCGTAACGTACACCATGTCGGCCATGAGAGCAAATCCTTCCAGCTTCAGCTGGGAGATGAAGGCCTGGAGGAGCACGTTGATCTGGGGAAGCAAAAGGGAGAGGCTCTCAGTGCCCTCCGCACCAGCGCCTGATCCCGGTGGGCTCTGACTTGTGGCAGAACAGAAGCGATCAGCGAGGACTGACTGTCCTACGCCACAGGACAGCGTGTTCAACCAGAGACAAGAAACACTTTGAGCGTCTCTGACGCAGTCCAGGATGTCCCACAGAGCAGGGAGAACAGAATTCACCCCCCGAGGGGCATTTACTATGACAGCTCTCGCCCAAGGATCACTGCTCCCCTCAAGACAGGCAGAGAAGTCCCCTCGAGGGTGCAGGCAGGGCTCACCTTGGCACTGGGCTCCTCTATGCTCTCCTTCACCGGGATGGGAACTCGCTCCAGCAACTTCTGAAGCTCGAGCTTCTCCTCCTGCAGAAAACCAAGGCAGGAGATGTGAGAACAGTCCCTCACAGGGCAAGCTCTGCCTCTTCCCCTGCAGCATCAAGACAGATGCCTCAGGGCTGTCTCACTCAGGACGGGCGTCTGGCTCCCTACCTCCCTCACGGTGATGTTCCTGAACTCCGAGGACAGCGAGAAGACCCGAAACAGCTCGATTTCACTCAGGGTGGGTTTCAGGAGCTGATTGTAAGTTTGCATCGTCTCGTTGGTGATGTAGTAGTGGCTGGCGATGCGGCCCAGCTCTGTCACCTGCCACAAGGACAACAGCCAGAGTGAAGCAGCAGAAAGACACCTGACTCTTCACGGCACAGACCGAAGACGCTGAACAGGAACTAGGCTGCAGCAGGGGATACATCTCCAGACAATAAACTCTCAGGCTACAGATCACCCCGGAAAGCTGCTCTACTTGGTACACAATTCCGTACATCACAGCCTCCCCTTTCTCATCTCCCTGCCTCTGAAGCAATGAAAATGCAACGGGAATGCGAATTTGCTTAGGAGGCAGCAGCAAACACACAAGAGTGTGACAGCCTGAAGCTCAGGTTTTACACCAACACCCCCTGTGCCGGCAAACAGCTCCCTGGAATCAGAGACGTGCACAGCAGCAGGTCTGAATGGCGCAGCCTGGGATCTGTGTTTAATCAGCAAGACGCCTCTTGCGTCCTTTTCTCAGCCAGAGGATGCTCCCATCCAGCTCTGCGTGGTCACAGCGCCTTTCCCTGGTCCTGTCTCACCTGGAAGTTCCCCGTCTTCTTGTCGTACTTCACCAGGTTGTTCTTGTCCAACATGAGGGCTGCAGTGTGAACCAGATCCAGGCGGCGCTGGTCCAGCAGCGGATCTCCCTTCAGATCATCGTGGGATATCCCGTAGAGTGTGGGGGAGCGCAGCATTCGGATGTACAGGTAGGTATAGCCCAGCCAATTCACTGCGTCCTGAGGAAACACCAACGTGCAGTCAGAGCCGGTGAACACACCTCACGGCAAGCAAGGGCGATGCTCTGGCTCGGAGCCCAGTGGCCCCAGGACTAGCATAGGACACAGCAGGCTGAGCCCAGCTGAATCCTGGCGAGTCAACATTAAACCAGAGCTTGGAAGCCCAGTAGTGCCATACAAAACTCTTCTCCAGTACCAGAAAAATATTAAGGAATTAAAAAACAACGAAAAACCCCACTCTCCACATGCAGACTTTTTCCCAGTTGTCCTTCACGTGGAGAGCTCTGTCTGCTCGGAATTACAGAAGCATCTACCCACTCGCCTGACATACCAGCCAGCCTTACTGGTTCTCGTGGCTGCCCTTCCAGATTTGCTCCCCAGGCACCAAAGGTTGCAAGTTTCTTTGCTCCCGCACAATGATGACGTCTTTCCCCGACACTGATCATCCTTCAGCCCCTGCAATTCCCACCAGCTCCCTGGGGGCAACAAAGGGGCACACGTACGCGGGGAAAGCGAAGATGCGCACTCACCTTTGCGTTCTGGACATTGCCCAGCACAGTCTCCGCATTCAGCATGTCTGGGAGCTTCGACACCATCTGACTTTCAATGGGGAGCTGCTGGTTGAGCAGGGAGAGGTAATACTGCAGCTCGCCGTGGGATGTGATGAGGATCCCTTCTCCTTTGGTATCGTACTGAGGCCTCCCGGCACGCCCCAGCATCTAAGAAACAAGAAGGTGAGGTCAGCAAAACATAAAAGCTTTTAGCTTGGCAATTTCTCCTCGCTGCCGTGTCCTGGGGCTTTACTGCCAGATTGCTCAGTCTACTGTTACTTCTAGCTGGCAGGAGACACACAGAAATATCTTGGATACGACTGGGCACGATACCGGGAAAGGGATCATTTGCCCTACTGATCTGCTTCTCTCTGCCCTCACAGCAGGGCTGTTCCCAGAACAGCTGAGACAGTCTGACAGCAGAGAACAGGGAGTGACTGCACTGAAAAAATACAAAAGCAGACCTCAAATGTGCCTCAGCAGGAAAGGGAAGATCCTGCCTCGGGTCTCAGCAGCATCTTTGTTACCAGAACCTCACCTGCAGGATGTCCAGAGCACCCAGCTCGGTCCAGCGCCCCTTCTCGGGGCTGTACACCTGTGTCCCCTTGATGATGACGGTGTGAGCAGGGAGGTTCACACCCCAGGCCAGCGTGGCTGTGGAGACCAGCACCTGCAGGAGCAAAATAGCCATCAAAGCCAGGCAGAAGCCTCTTCCTGGGGAAAAAAAGGGATCTAAAACGCTGGTCCTGACATTAGAGACATGCATAAAAGGCACAAAGTCTGAGAACTGTGACGGTCTCGACAGCTCAGCAGAGGAAGGTCAGATAAACAGCAAGATCTTTGCCCAAACTTCCCAGCTCACTGCACGACCCCGAGAAAATCCTTTGCCTTCCATTTATAACACTGCCAGAAATTGCTTGGATGGGGTTTTGCCAAAGCGACAACTGTGGAGGAGACAGCCTGCTCTGGTACAGACCTCTGGCTTTAAACACTCAGCTAGGCTTAATGTTTTTGCCCTCTCTACTCCTGGCCATGTGCTTTTAGTTTCTCTTCTTTGGGCGAAAATCAAGGCTGCCTTCATCGGGCACCAGCTTCAGTGGAGCAGGATGGGAGCTGGCTATGCTTGATCATCTTGATTTTGCCCAAAGGGCTACTGGCAAACACGGCCAAGCATTTCTTGTGAAGTACCCACCGCAAACAAACATGCAACTCCTCCTGGGAAGTGAGGCTCACCTGAATGTGCTTGTCAGCAAACAGATCCTCCACCAGTGTCCGGTCCACCCGTGTCATCCCAGCATGGTGAATGGCGAAGCCGTACGGAAGGAGGTCCTTCAGCTCCAGGTTCTGCAGCAGAAACACAACCAGCTCTAGGTCTTCTACCTGAGCCAAGTAACACCAGGGAGAAAAGCAGCAGCAGAAGGTAGTGCATATCCTAGAGGAAAGGCTGGGAAACTGCACCAAAGGGGCAGCATCTTTGTAGCTGCGCTCCTGCTATCACTGTGTTAGAACAGCCCCGGCCGGGCCGTTACCTTGCACTGCTCGGCTTCGGTCCTCAGGACCTCGGTGGAGGCTGAGCCCTCGCGCAAGAAGAGGCCCAGGGTATCCTTCTCCAGGCACATGTCCCTGATGGCCCGGGCAGTCTTCCCAGTCTCCTTCCTGGAGTGAACGAACACCAGCACCTGTTAAACAAGCAGACGGTACCGTCGCTGAGAGAGGAATCGCTACGGCTGCAGCTGGCAGTGATGCTTGACCCAACCTGCTGCTGCTCTTCAGGGTGGGAAGAGATCTAGAATTAGTCCAGATGCCCTGTGAACCACACACAGAGCTCCTGATTCAATAGGGTAGCATCACAAAAACTCCCTCATCCTAAAAGGACAGCTCATACATTAAACAGAGAGCTGTCAGAGAGAGAAAACCCGTGTTCCTTCCTCTCGCGGCATCGACCACCCAGACCTACCCTCTTCACTGCAGCGACGGCAACTCGAAAGAGTCTCACCAGCGACAGACAAGCACCAGGATTAAGTGTGTCAGGAAGAATAAAATAAAGTATCAAACCTGGTTCTTTCCAGCATGCTCCATAATTTTCTCATAAACTATCTCATTCATTATCTGGAAGCGTTTGATTGCTTTCTTCTCTGTAATACCCACATAGGTCTGCTCCAGCGGCACTGGTCGGAAGCTGTAAGGGAAAAAAAAAAAAAAAAAAAAAATCAAGTCCATAAAAGAGGAGAAGCACGAAGAAACTCTGCTACGAAAGTTCTGTCAAAAGGCATTCACGCTATCGCGTTCAATACGCTTCCTTTGTGCCTCAGTTTACTCAGAGGTTTGATGGTTCCAGTTCTGCCCAGTTAGATTAAACAGCAGGGGACACTACCACGTACTCCTGTTTCCTGGAATCCATTTGCTGCGCACACATGCAGGGAGCAAAAACGGTGTTGTGGGCATGATCGTAATCCTATTTTAGGATATGGAGCACTTATGCAGCACACAGATACAGCAGAGTTTATCTGCCTTCTCTAAAGCAAGTATGACAACGCAGGAATCCTGGCACACATTTTGAGGCTGTATTTAACTGCTCTCGTCCTGAACATGCGTTTACCGGCACATCTAAGAGCAAATAAATGCATGTTGAGAGTAGGCTGAAGGCCCTGGTACCATCTGACTGATAAAACACTCAGCTGCCTCCACAGTAGGCACGTCTTTCCCAGCTCTACGCAGCTACCCACCATCTGATCATAAAGATCTCTCCCAGCTTTCCACCATACCTGTTATCAAAATAGAACAAGCCTTTGGCCGGGTCCACCCTCAGGAATGTAGCCACGTCCTCGTAGTTGGGGAGGGTGGCACTCAAGCCAACGAGCCTCACGTCCTCCTGAGTCATCTCGATGTTGCGGATGGCCCTGGCTACCAAAGACTCCAAGACGGGTCCTCGGTCATCATGCAGTAGGTGTATCTCATCCTAAAGAGAGGAAACAGGAACCGAGTTCTCCCCGCTCCAGACCAGCTCTATTTACCCATTCCTGTGTTAATCTCTTAGCAGACCCACTTGCGTGGACTCAGGCACCCTCATCCCGCAGCTCAATGCCCGACTCTCTCCACAACCAAGCACCAGAGACGCCTTCAACCGCTAACGCGCATTCAGGAACCGCAGTGCCGAAAGACACAATGCCCATCATCGTCCCCCTCCTCCACGCCAGGGCCCTGCAGGCGCCGGCGCTGCTCACCAGGATGACCAGCCGCACCAGCTGGGTATAGGTGCGTTCTCCTCCCTTGCGGGTGATGATGTCCCACTTCTCCGGGGTGCAGACGATGATCTGGGTGGCACTGATTTCCTCCTTGCACAGCTGGTGATCCCCTGTCAGCTCGGCCACGTTGATGCCGTAAGTCGCCAGGCGCTAGGAGGAAGCCCGCAGGCGGTTACGGCGGATAAAGGCGCTTTCCCCGGGGCAGCGTTAGAGCAGCGCAGCCCCGAGACGCTCGCAGTTTCCTACTCGTCCCGCTACAGCGCTGGAAGAGACGCGCGGATTTCGTAGCCCACGCTGACATCCACAACCCGTACCAGCACGCGCTCAGAGCCCAGCGAGCGCAGACTACACGAACAGGGATTACAGGCACAACCCAAACTCATCCTCTCCCGATAAGCTTCCGCCAGAACTTACATCCTTTTGTAAGCGTAATATAAGGAAACCACTGCAATAAAGCTCGTTTCCCCCAACCTACAGTTCAAGCAGGGGCAGGACCAAACCTCTCCTTACCTTCCCGAAGCTGCCCACCATCTCCTGCACCAAGGACCTCATGGGCGCGATGTAGATAATCTTGAAATCATCCACGTTGATGGTTCCGTCGATATTAATGTGTTTCCCTATTTCTCGCAACATGCACATGAGCGCCACGTTCGTCTTCCCAGCACCCTAAAACGCAAGCAGAACCGGTCCCATCCAATTCGCGTCCCCTCCAGGGTAAAGGTTCACCCGCAGCAGCCAGCCTTTTCCGCCTAAACCCATCATCCTTCTGGATTCCCCCTCACACAGGGCCCAAATATCCGGATCCTTACCGTGGGGGCACACAGCAGCAAGTTCTCATCCGACTCCAGCGCAGCGCGGTAGAGTTTGCTCTGAATACGGTTCAGTGTTTTAAACCCCTCGAATCCAGCCTGGGCGTATTTGGGCAACTTTTCCACAGAAACCAATTGCTGAAAAGGGAAAACATCAAGCTCACTGCCTTTGTTTCAGTATCTCGCGGGCTGCAGGACATATGTGAGACCTCAGGGACACCCTGGGGAGTAGCAGAGTCATGTTGTCTCCAGATGGGCAGAGGAGATGCCCCATGCCCAAGGATCACGGAGCAGGTTAGGCAGAGATCAAACGAGCCTCGTTAGCTGGCCCATGCACTCCGATGAGTACAAGTTATAATTGGCTACACCATCAGAAAAAGCAAATCCCCACCATGTTCTCGTGATGGAACAGATCAGACCTCATTTCCACTGCCAGCACGGATCAAAAGAGGCAATTTATCACAAGGCACGCCATGAATCAGCCAGATCTCTGGCCCACACCGCACATCACAGCAAGGAGGGAGCAAAAGCAGAGCCGAGGGCTCAGCAAAGCAGCTAACTGCGGCAGGGGAGCCCAGAGACAGAAACCACCACCACACGATACACACTCCAGGAGTGAGAAACTAGGAATTGGGAACTCTCTTCAGACACATGAAATCTCTTAGCTTAAAATAACCGTTCTTCAAGAAACCGGAGAGGGTGTCACAGCCACATCAAAGCTTGTTGAGTCCCAGGAAGTATGTGTCATGATATTGGCAACAACTAGCCAAGTCACAGAATAGTTTGTGTGGGAAGGGACCTTTCAAGGTCTAGTCCAA